ATAAAAGCTAATAATAATTATATGAAAAATTGAATAAATACATATTTTAATAGTTATATAGTTATGCAAATAACTGTAATTTAACAATAAATAATTATAATTGCTATAAATGTTATATATATATATATATATATATATATATATATACAGTATTATAAGTAATTATTAAATACATATATAAATATTCATATTTTATACACACCAATTACCAATTTTTCCTCCTGATTAGCATAACGTTTTAAAACACTAAACACCAAACAAAACATCTGGTATCAAATTTAGTTGGAAACTACTCTTAAACTCTCATTTGTTTGTTTGTTTGTTGCAGTTTGGCCTCCAAATCCAAGTTTGAGCTTGTTTTGTATTTTATTAAGGAGTCTGTATTGATTTCATCATCGTTTGAGGTTTAAAAGTCTGCGATTCCTGCTCTTGAGCCCAGTTAGTCATAGTGTGCTTACTGCGGAAAGACTGGCGTCTCCTCCTTATGCCTTCGGTTGAGGATGAAGTATGTTTATCCCTGTAATTACAGGAATTTATTCCTTATATTAAATGCATTGGTTTATTTGTGCAACGCAGATGTATTTATGGCAATTGTTACTAATGGTAAAATAATACACAAGCAGCTCGTTCTGTTCTGTGAACGTAGTAAAAGTTCACAGCCGAGCTGGACATTTCTGAGGGAAATTACTCTGTATGGAAATCATAATATAAAAGCAGATTCTGTTAATATGTGGATGTTTAAAGCCATTCTTGACCGTCCCGAGTGTTATACCAGTGATTGTGTATTGTATATTGTGTATGTCTTGAATTTGGAGCAGTTAAAGTTCATCTGTCAAACGCTGCTTCTGGTTTTCTTTCACAGCAGTGCATTTATGGATTATGTATGACTGAATTTATGAATGGGAAAAAGTCAGGCCGGATACTGTATGGTGTCGTTGTTCAGATCCACTCGCTCTAGTCAGTAGCACCATTAATCATTGTTAGATCAGTTGTTACTGTTACTTTTAGAAAAGGGATGAACTTGTCATGTTGTTGTAAACTCACAGGACAAAATACAGGTTTTATGTTCCCTAAGAGTCTCATTGCATGTGTCCCGAAACGTGAAAACGTAAGCCTGAGTCTGGATTTGATTATTTAGATTGCATGTTATGTGCATTACATATTTATTTATTGTTTTATCAATATGTTTAATATATAATAATGCTTTTCCTTATTCTGCATTACTTGTTAGTGGCATTAGCATCATTGCAAAACCAAACACCATTCACATTTTCTTAAATCAGTGTCAATGTAAACTAGTATGTATGTAATATAATAAATCAGAATAGAATAGAAATTAAATATATAATTTATATAGATTTATAAATAGAAATTATAATTTATATAATTATATAATCATAAAAATATATTAACAAAAAATCATGGAAGTGTATTTATGTATTATGTATTTTATATATGTTATATAATTATAAATATATAATTAAAAAAATATTCATATAACAATATATTTATTTATTTATATTATATATTTTATTAATAGTGTAAACTAGTCTGTGTATAATATAATATAATGCAATAAAATTAAAATGAGTGCATTTTTATTCATACAAATTATTTAATAATTATATATTTTATTACTAGTGTGTGAATATATTATTATGATTTATATATAATTATTACAATTAATTCAATATTTATTAATTTTTTTAAATGTTAATATACAATATTTTTATTTATAAATATAGATTTTATTATTATTATTATATTGTAATGTATAATAATGCTTTATTCCTTATTAAAAGTGTTTTCTTATCATTTCTTTACACTTTACATATTTTCGTAAGGAAATGTAAATGTGTAAAAACTAGTGTGCATATAATATAATATAATATTTTATTTATTCCCATGTGCATATTTATTTTAAGACATGATGTAGAGTGTCTTTACTTTTTACTTTTACTTTCAGTCATTTAGCAGACGCTTTTATCCAAAGCGACTTACAAATAAGAAAAAGTAATTAAAACTAAAAGCTAAAACTCTATAAATACTATATATACACACACATTTAAGAAAATAAAATAAATTAAATAAAAATGACAAATGCATACAACAACATTTCAAATCTAAACATTTAAATGAAAACAAAAAAATAAAGCTAAAAACAATTCAAAATATTAAAAGAACAAAAGGTATGAGTATAATAATGATTCTAATGTAACACTAAGCCAAACACCAAAAAAACAACTACATATGTGTATGTACAGCCACACACACATACATATACATATACATATACATGTACATATATATAAATAATATATATATATATATATGTACTTATATGCGTCTTAGTGGCTTTGTTTTGAAAACATTGCTTAATATTGGAAGTTACTAACACCAGATGTGTAATCCGCTGTCATGGGTCGCTCTCAGTCACTGTAAAACTTCTCCATAGAGTGACAGCGAATGTGAATGCAGCGTGGACATAATTAGACCCAGTGCTGAAGCTTCTGTGTTCTTGGCTTCGGCCTCCGGTGCTGCTGGCAGCTTGATTTGATGGCTGAGTGTTTGTGTTTGTAGGAACGAAAAGGCAGCTCAACTCCCCTCCACCCCCTCGTTAACCAGGGACAGCAGTGACCCTGAAACCCGGAGCAGCGTGGGAACAGACCCACACAGAATTATGGGAAAGGAGGTTAAAGAGGAGCAAAATCGTCTGAAGGGGTTTACGGTACGCACACATTTTTTCACATGTTTCCCAAAGCATTCAGTTCTGCGACTTGATGCATCAAGCGGATGTTCTGCAGATTCATTGATTTCACTAGGATGTAGAAAAATCACACAAGCGTTTATGGAAGTGACTGTATGTGATGTGAAAAAATTTATTTTGATGTATTTTGTGTTCAAACGGTTGCCAAAGGTGTCGTTGTTTTTACTGTAATCGTTTTCTTTACACAGTGTTCAAGCCACACACACAAAAAATCCCAAAAAGTGAGAATGAAATTTCTGATAACAGTGCTAATAATGGTTTCTAAGCCCCGTATAATTCTGTGCAAATTAATAAATAGTAAAATTGCACTTTTCATGCGAAAGTTATAGCCGTTGTTGCTGCTTGTTTTAAAAGCAGTGTTATTTTAGCATTAATAATACACTGTTGTAGTATTTATTACCATTTTGAATAAGGTTTTGTTTTTATATTTAAATTTTTTTTATTTCATATTTTCATATTTTACATTATACATTAAATTATTATATATTTTATCTACTTAAAATGAATAAATATTTTAAATTATTTATTTATTATGTATTTTATATTATTTATATATTTTATTATTTATATATAATAATGTTTTTCCTTATTTATTCCTTATTAGTGGTATTAGCGTCATGTTGGCAACTGAGAGGTACTTTAGCAGTATTTATTATTTTATTAGTATTTATTAATCATTTAAAGTAACTACTATTTTTATATTTTCAGTTTTTCATTTTAATCTTAGTTTGTGTTTTAGACATGTAGTCACATGCTTTTATCGTCTTTTTTTAAACTTTTATATATTAAATTATTACATTTAGCTTTAATTTATTTTATTTCAGTTAGTTGCCCAGGCACCATTTGTAATTTTTGTCTACGTTTATCTAATGTTTATTTTTTATTTTATTTCAGCGTTACTTGAATTAACGAAAAACTGTTTATTTCCTGACGCGAGTCATGTGAAAGGACCTTAAGCGTTTCTGCTGCTTAATGCTGAAAAGACGTTAGCACTTGCCATAATTACGTAACGGACGCTGTAAATGACCTCTGCTCTGACGCGTTGAGTCTGACTCCTCTTCCGGCCACACAAGTGAAATACAGTTGCTGCTCTCCATGGATGATGGTGCAGTTTGGTTAGTTAGGAGGGCGGTATGTGAGGCTCCTCTTTCTCTGCGTGTTGGTTTGGATGGGATGTAGATGACATCCTCTCTATCTAACAAAGCGCAGTTGTCTGTGAGACACAGCATTCAGGAAAGCCTTCGGCGGTGTTATTGACACTGGCAGGACAGATCTAGAGGTTTCCATGAGGTATGACACGCTTCGATTGTGCTGCGAGGGCAAAAACAGGCCGCCAGGACAAACAGCATTCCCTCAAAACTCCCAATTCTAGGCGTTTTCATATCCGCTGACATTATGGCTGAAATAACATCTTTTGGACGTACCTGCAGAAAATAGAGGAAAACACTCATTGGAATAATACAGTAGCAACATAAACCATTTGTTATATTACAGGCCATTAGCGCTGAAGAAGAGCTCCATAGTGTGTAGGATGATTATCTTGGATGTATTTCTGGATATTATTATGCAATAAGTAATAATAATAGAACAAATAAACAAATTTCATAGATAAATTAGAACAAAGTTAAAAATAAAATAAGGTGTAACATTAGTCAGGTACAAAAAATGTAATAATTAAGTGTAAAATAACACTGCAATATTTGTAAAAGTTGTGTTATGTTTGATTAACATTGACACAGACAGCAGCAGGTTTTTAATAGGCTTCTGTCCCTTTAAGACCAGATGCACGGATCTAATATAATGATACGCGTCCGATTTCTTTCCCCACTGTTTAGGTTCACTTCAAGATGCAACCGACTGTGTTTACGAGAACACTTGCCGAGGTTTTGTGTGTTTGTGTCCGTTCAAGCTCAAGGAGACGTGAAAGAGGACTCGATTCTGTTCGAGCACCAAATTGATTTCTCTTTCACCTCTTCATGCGCTTCAATGGTTTAAAACGCATGTTTAAATTGGCAGCACGTGCAAATGATCAAGTACGATCTGTTTCACCCCTATAAAGCGAGTGAATAACGTAAATCAGTTATTCAAGCAGGTGGCCTGGCTGGAATATACAATAGCCCCAGGACGTCAGGCTATATGAGCCATAAAAGCCTGATGTATCAATTATGATGATCAACAAAAAAACGAACTTTTAAAAAAAATAGGATTTTAAAAATATTTTGTCAGTAATACCTTCTTTTAAAAAAAGTTTTTTTTCTGACCATTATTTCATGACAGGCTTATACTAATCTCTCTCAAGCTAGTGTTTAGCTGGTCGAATAAAGTGCCCAAAACCCGGCGACCTGGATTAGTTTAAGATGTTTGTTTCAGCTCAAGAAGGTCTAAACCTGTGTATTTTTACACATTATGAGGCACCGCATCCATGTGTGTGTGTGTTTGTGTGTAGAACCAGACTTCTTGTTTAGTGACGTGAGGTAAACATGACGAAGAGGCCTATATTTCTGCCTAATGGCTCCCAGATGCAGCCGCCACAAGCTTCATATATGCTACGAGAGCGTTTGGCTGACATCACTCCACAACTTTACACTGGAAGAGGCAGAGAGAGCTGATGAAATACAGTGCTGGGAACGAGCAGAGGAAGCCATTCGAGAGCCGTTCGGTGACATAATTCACTGTCTCTTAGTTGTCATCATGCAGGAAAGGCGCAGGAGTTTGGATAAAAGCCTGGACTGATCTGAAGCAGGATGTGGAGAAGAGACGTCGGAGCATGTAATTGTTATTCAAAGGCTTCACACTTGCGAATAGCCCGATAACGTGCCGTTGTGCGATTAAACTCGAGGCTTGCACTCTTTGAGTGGCGTGTTTATAAATGCTATTAGGTCTTGTAAATTTGCCGCGCTCTCCTAATGGCACTTTCTCAGGCGACTGTTTCTTTCTTTCTTTCTCTCCAGCATCACGCGTTTCTCTCTCCCAAACTCTGACTCATTCATCCTGAGCTCATAATCAGAGAATGCCCAGCTTAGATTCATATGCCGCCATAAAAGCAGAAATGAGCCGATTGGGTGCCGTGCATGAAAAACGGTTTTGACCGTGTGAAAGAAAGCACTGTTGAAGTTTTGCATGATTTTGCAGTTATTATTTTCACTTTCCATGTCCTGGTCAAAACATTTTTTGAAAGCATTCATAGAATCGTTTTATGTTTGCACTAGAAATGGGATTGGCATATTTAATGGCACATGTTTAATTTGATTTAATAATCACATTATTAATTTGACCTGCTATGTATATCAAGCCATATGGGAACTTGTTTGAAGAACAGGTTGAAATTTAAATCATCATCCACTGAAAGTATTGCTTTCAGATCACATTTGCATTCAGACGCATAACACCGGTTAGTTAATCCGAACTTTTTCTGTCCTCAGAATTTACATTTGTAGGTGAACATTTGTTTTAAGTACAGTACCATTCCAAAAACAGTAATAATGTACAATATTATTATAATTTAAAATAGTTTTCTTTGTGAATATATTGTAAAATGTAATTGATTTCTGAGATCAAAGCTGTATTTTCAGAATCATTACTGCAGTCTTCAGTGTCACGTGATCTTCAGAAATCATTCTAATATGCTGATCTGCTGCTCAAGAGACATTTCTGATTATTATCAATGTTGACATCAACAGTTATGCTGCTTCATATTTTTGTGGAAACCGTAATACTTTCCAGAATTATACTTTAATATAATAATAATAATAATAATAATAATAATAATACTTTCACTTAATAAGAAATCAGACCTAAAATAAAAATATTTTATTATTTAATTTGCATTAATTAGATTTATATAAATTGCTTATATTAACTAATATGTATCATGTATTTAAAATAACAATATTATAAAATGTATATTATAATGATAAATATTATAAAATAAATATCATCAATAATAATTCATATTTAATATTAGCCATCAGCATAATGAAAATGGCTATTATTGAAATTATTCTTATTTTAATATGATTAATATTAATTAGAAATCAGACTTTTAAAATACTATGAGTTATTTAATTAAAAAATATAAATTATATTTGCATAAATTGTATTTATATAGATTGTGTGTGTGTATATATATATATATATATATATAATTTTTTTTTTACATTATAAATACCACTTTTATCAATTAAGGGCATCCTTCCTGAATAAAAGTAATAATTTCTTTAAAACAAATATTTTTAATAAATATAAATTATTTTTGCATCACATATAATAATAATAATAATAATATAGGAATACATTTTAAAATGTATTTAATAACTTAGCATCAATACAAAATCATTTTAATAATAAAAATAATAGTATTAATAATAATATGGAAGTCTAGAATAAATGTTAGAATTTATTTAATAACCGAGCATCAATACATTTAATGCTGGTTATTTCCCCTCAATACATGCGAGTTCTTGTTATGATTAGTGTATCATGTTGTTCACAGCTGTTGTAATGTTCATGAAAAAGCAGTGACCTTCTACTCGAGACATGACGGCGATTATACAGAATAATTATTTTCCCATGTTGGCTTCCTCATGTGACGCTGGAGCCTGTTGAACAGCGCTGCTTACTGTAACTTTCCAGAAAAAAGTGACTGCCTTTCTGTCTGGGATTACATCCACACTGTCCGCACCTCCAACCGCATGCTGATATTCAAACCCGGGTAACCAGCCAACCACGCAGTTCAGGGCAGTGTGTGACGCGTCAGTATCACGATGGACCACCGTGTTTTAAACCAGCACACAAGGGTCCATTGTGGGTGCTTAAACACATCAGTGTCTGCTGGATGAACACGCACCTTGTGTTTTCCTCCGCAGGCCGGGAGAGATGCCGAGCACTACGGGAAGCCCGCAGACAGCTGGGATGCCTGTGCCAGCGATGTCCCCCTCAAACTCCACACAGCCACTGAAAGGTGACATTTCCACATCGGAAAATTTTTGCACGCATGCAAATTAAAGATGCATGCTAAATAGAGGTCCTGTGTTGTGCTTTACAGCGGGAACGCGTCGAGGCCCGAGTCCAGCGGCCACACACCGCTCCACACGCAACTCCAGAAGTTCACCGTTTCTGCAGACAAGGTGCCTATTTATTACCATTACACAAGACTTACACAATCGCTTATGCTGCGAAAGCCCCACTGCGTCCAGTCAGACAGAACAGGGAAGCTCTTCCCGCTTTACTGCTGTTCAGCTGAGAGTTTGGACTCCTCCAGAATAAACTCACGAGAGGCTGATTGATGGGTCTTTGCTAACTGCATGAGGATCAGGTTGTGTGTGTGACTTCCAGGAATTGTTCTGTCTTGGAAATGCAGCCGGCGGCGTCTGAACCCAGTCTGGGCCGAGGAGCCAGCGGTTCAGAGGTCAGCCAGGTCTAAATAAGGATCTCTCGGCTCTTTCTGTTAGAAATATGTCTTCCTGTTTTTTTTTATCATGGAATGTGATGCCTCTAAAAGCTTTGGTTCTAAAAACCTAGTGAGTTGACTACCTGGAAAGCATTTCTAAAACCTAGTAAGCTACCTACCTAGGAAGCCTTTAGGTAGGTGTGCTCTTGACATAAAGGCTGTTCCAAAAGACAGGTTTCTTTAATATAAAAATATATATTAATATGAATTATTAATCAGACTTTTAAAATAATAAGAATACAAATGCACACAAAAACTGATAAATTATATAACATTACTATCATTTTATGATACTTATAAATGATAGTTATACATTATTAATGATCATTAATAATAATAAAAATCTTATTAAACTTATTCAAATTATACTTTAATATTAATTAGAAATCAGACTTAAAATAGCATTAATATTTTTAATTTGCATAAATCGTTTTTATATCAGTTGTTTATATTAACTAATACAGTGGGTACGGAAAGTAGTCTAATTGATTTAAAATAGTACATTTATATTATACTGATAAATATTCTAAAAGTGAATATCATGATCAAATTTAATAATTATTCATATTTCTCATTAACCATAATGAAAATTACTATTGCTAAAATTATTCTTAATTTAATATTATTAATATGAATTAGAAATCTGACTTTTAAAATATGAATATTATTTAATTAATAAATCTTAAATAAATTAGCATCAGTTTTATTTATATAACTTATATGTATATAAACTAATATATATATATACACACAGCTAGATAGATAATAGCAATATTATAAAAATGCATATTATGCTGATATATATTAAAATTTAATTTAATAAATTATTAAGTCATTAATCAATAAAAATTACTATTATTCAAATTATACTTCGCTTAGTATTATAATGCTTAGTTTAATATTATTATTATTATTATATACTAAAACTTAGAATAAATTTAGAATAAATATTATTAGAATTCATTCAATAACTTACTGAAATATCATTAAACATAGTTCTAGTGAAAATGTAGGTTATTTTCATATTTCATATTTGTGTTGTTTGTATTATGATTATTAGAGTGTTGTGTTGTTAGCTGAGCGACATGCTAATGTCTGAGTACTGTATAGGAATGAGTCAATGGTGCATCTCTTGAGCAGTTTATGTGGATTGGACCGCTGCCTGTGCAGGGAGTCTCTAGGTGCTTTGAGCATGTTCATGTTCTCTTTGTATTCTCCACAGACTCTCTCCTGGCTCAAAGACAGCGTTGCGATGGCCACTCAGATCTGCAGTTTGGCCGGGCCGAACGGTTTTGAAGCAGCCAAGAGGCGCCAGGCCTCACTGGAACAGGATATCCTGTCCAACAGAGCCAGGATAGAGCTGGTCAAGAAGGTGAGAGTGTTCACTGGCTTTACGCAACAACTGTGCACACATACCTCATCTAACACTAACTTTTGTCTATTGGTAATGCAGTTTCTGGAAATGTGTGAAAAAAAAAATTAAGCTTAGAAGAAGCTACTTTTTCCAACAAGTAGAAATGTAGTGCAATGATTTCTTACAGCATGCCACATTTTATTGAGAGAATAAATCCTCAAGTTTTTTTTTTTTTTTTACTTTTCTAGTTTAAATCATAATTCAATTGAATACGATGAAATTGTGTATTTTTTTATTTTTCTTTCTGCTTATCAATGAAATATTGTGTAAGTTTGATACATCATAGCAAATTAATTCGTTTGGATGGTTAATTTCAGTGAGCTGATTCAAAATAGTGAGTCATTTGATATGTTTTTGACTTAATTATTTCAAATAGTGTGTTTTGAGTTTTATTTTGTGGCCTTGTTTTGTAGTTGTGTTTTGTCTAAATGTGTGTGTTCAGGATTGATGCTGTTACCTTAATTGAAAAGTGTTTTTGTTTATATGAAATCCTGCTAAATCCTGATAAATGTTATAAAATGTATATAATTGTCAAATTTTATAATAATTATTAATGCTCATTAATAATAAAATAACTTATTTATTTTAATTAAATCATTATGCATTATTTTTAATTGAATTAGCATTAATTTTATTTATATAAATTACATAAATTTGAATAATTGTATAAATAATTATATAAATAGCATATATTTAAATAGATATAGCATATACTGTATATAAATAGCATATATTTATATTAACTAATATATACACACATGCATATATAATTTATTTAAAATAGCAATGCTATAAAATGTATACTATACTGATTAATATTATAAAAAAATGAATATCATTATCACATTTAATAAAAAATAATATTAGTCCTTAACCATAATGAAAATGACTATTATTAAAATTCTACTTAGTTTAATAGTATTAATATGCATTAGAAATGAGACCTATAAAATAATGTGAATATTATATATTTCACAAATATGTATGCATAAATGATTTCAAATGTAAAAATTGTCAGACGTCTTGTTCCCGTCCAGGAGGGTTACAGTCTGGTGAGGGCTCAGCATCCGGGCAGCATCAAGATCCAGGAGTTTCTGAGTCAGCTGGAGGTTCTGTGGGACGAGCTGAGGAGAAGACATGAGAGGAACGGTCTGGTCCTGAAGGTCTCAGAGGAGCTCAACTACAGGGTACATATATCTGGTGTTTCTCTGAATGTTTGGAATGGCATATTGCCTTGTGTTGTTGAAAGAAATTAGTGTGCAGTTTGTATACTGAGCAACATATGCCATTTATTATGCCAAGAAATGCCCACATACAACTAGAGCACACTGTGTGGAGTACTGTATCCCACAATGCAGTGCATGAAACATTGAGAGTCAATTTCCAGTGTGATGAACAGGAAATGCTATCAATCATGAGTTGACCTTTTTTTTATTGCACTGTCAAAAAAATTACTCAAAACTGGAATAAAATTGCAAAAACAGTATTACCGGTAGTTTACAAGATGGATTATACATGCAGCGTAACAAGGTTATGAAACACGACTACTGTTTGAAATATTGATCAGTGCGTTTTGCATACTGTTTCACATAAATAGTAGACACTGTACAGTGTATTTTGCAGGAAGAAATGTTTTACAAAAAAAAAAATAATAATATTTTAATGTCATTTTCATCACTATAATGCTATATACAGTGGCCTATGATGAAAATTACAGGCCTCTCTCATCTTTTTAAGTGGGAGAACTTGCACAATTGGTGGCTGACTAAATACTTTTTTTCCCCACTGTATATGTGTGTGTGTGTGTCTAGAGTACATATTTCATTTATGCTGATTACATTATAAAATAAAAACTATATATTGCAATTTTTTTGTTTTGTTGCATTTAATATTTACTTTATTACAGTTTTGAAAGTGTAATGGGGAATGCAGAAAAATAAAATAAAATGTGTCACTGCATTACAGTGATTTTTGATAGAAAATGCGCTTAATTGTCTTAAAAATAATGTCACAATGTAAAAGTTGTAAGTTGAATAAATGTATAATACAAATAACACAACAGCAGGCAAACAAAACGAAAGTAACATAAAAAATGAATTAAATATTAGGACATATTTGCATTTTTTTTTTATCTCTTTGACTCATTATTTCATTGGACTGCCAAAAGAGAAGATATTCACAAAATTTGATTTCAAATCCAGAGTAATCATATTTTTGCCAAATCCAGTAAAATATTAGGCAATACTACTTTATTTTTATGACAGTTAAGCACATTTTCTCCTAACAATCTTGCTGCTGTAATGCAAAAAAAAAAAGTAATTAAATTGAAAAATATTTATAAATAATGGTATATGGTAATGTTGTTGTTGTTCTGCCCTCAATGTATATATTTTATTTAATAAAAAAAAAACTTCAGCAATTTTTTTTTTAATTGTCATGAAAATAATCACATCACAATAATTACAAATATAAATAAATTATATTATTATATATGATTGTGTATTAGTAGTATTATTATAATTGTGATTGTTTTTTGTTTGACAATTAATAAAAATAAGAAATTATAATTGTTTTTAATGTTTTTATTATTATTATTATTATAGTGATTATCGTGCTGATTATTTTCATGACAGTTAAGTAACATAAATGAGAATTTATCATTATTATTTCTTAATAATAATAATAGTAATACTAGTCATTATTGTTATTTTTATTTATTTCCATGACAATTAAGTAATACAAATAATAATTAATTACAAGAAATAAAAAAGTATTATTTTAAATAATAATAATTATTATTATTAATTAGTAGTAGGAGTAGTAGTATTGCAAAAAAAAAAATCATGGTCCTAAAAATAGAGCTGATTTTATTCATGCAGATTTTTGTTGTGAAATATTACCTGGACATGCTTTCATGCGGCTCACCCTTTTGTGGGGTTGTTTCTTTAAAAAAAAAGAAGTAAGACAGCAACCGAGTGTTTTTGCAACACAATAACACGTCCAAAGCATTTACCGGTGAAAGCGCTCTGAGAACAGGAAGCCTCTTGTTTGCCGGGACTCGGTGGCCTCCGGTGTTGATCTAATGGAAACGTCTTTCTCCCAATTCTTGTGATGAATTTGTTTTAGCACATTGTTTCTAGAATCTGTTTCCTGTTGTGGTTGAAGCTGGACATCCACCGAGATTTTGTTCGATAATGAAGCGAGCCCACACATGCCTTTATTATCCACACAGGACTCCATTGTGTGCGAGTTTTTGGCGTTTATGATGTGTATTTGTAAGTGTCGGTTGATTCATTTGAGACTGCAGCATTGTGCGGGTGCGTTGCAATGCAATAATACCTAGATGGCGTGCAAAACGCAAACACATCTGTCTGGAAACCCCAAAGCGCAAGAAATGACCTAATGGCTCATACTAAAATAGTTTGACGCTCATGCACAAAGCATCTGACAATCTCTGTTTTGCAGGCGCAGATCTGAAACACTGAGCTGCTTGATTCTTATTAACGCTTTTAATTAGCTTAGAAAATCTATCAGCGATGCCAGCAATGCATATGTGAAGCATATGGTTAACCGATTTAAAGCACTGAGGGTGTCAAACCGTACGAGTTTGCAAAGGGTTTATGTTGCAAAAATAGTATTAGTTGGATGGTAGTATGCAATTGTGAACTTAAACCTAGATGTATTTCTTCCTCCAGGCTGAATACGGGGTCTTGAAGGAGGAGGTGGAGGCCATGGTGAGTCTGGCGAGCCGTTTGTCAGACGTGTGTCCGGAGAGGATGAACGCTGTAGGGACTGAGATTCAGACCAGCCTGAACGCCTGGGACGAGCTCAGCCAAAGTGTGGCCGAAAACAAGAAGAGACTCCTGCAGTTTGGACACCTGCGCCATTTCTTTAGGAGCTATCTGGCAATGATGTAAGTCAGTGATAAAACAATTAAATGAGACCATTTTATTTCTCATTTTGTTGTAGATTGACATCACAAGAACACGTACAGGTCATAATTCACCCCAAAACCCCCCAAAAAAGAATAATAAATAACATGCATAGTTTAAATAAAATAAAACCTTTTTGTTGTACCATATTTTCATATTTTCTCCCTAAACTTTGGTTATTGTGTTAATACACATTAATAATAAATAGAAAATAGTAAATAATCAACCAAATGTACTGCATATAATACAAATTGATAAATAATAAAAAATTATATATACATATATATATATATATATATATATCAGATATAAAATACTAATTTTTAATTACTTTGTCATTTTTATTATATATTGTAATTTATAAATATTATTATTTTTTATTATTTTCATGACAATTAAGCAAGTTTCCGAATAAATTTGTATTACTGTAATGTGCCCAGACATTTCAATCATGCAATTTTTTTAATTTAAAAAAATCCAATTAAATATTTTTTATTTAAATCAGCATAAATTAAACCCAAAACAAATACTACCATAAATAGTAAATATTTATTATATACTTCATATATTTTTCTAATTACATTCTCAACAATTATTTAATATTTGGTTCAATTTTATTTTATAATAATTTTGTATGTACATATATAAATTATAATAAAAATATTAATAGTAGATAAAATACTGTAGTATAGTAATGAGAATTTAATAGCAATTGAACATGATTTAAAAGAAAATACAAAAAAAACTCAAAATACTAAAATAATGCTAAACAAACTAATTATTGAACAAAAAAAGACAAACAATTAAATATTAGTTTTTTAGTTGTTGTTTTTTTTTTCAATAAAAATACAAAAAAAAACTAATTTAAGTGTCTGGACACATTACAGTAATGCAAATTTGGGGGAAACTTGCTTAATTGTCATGAAAATAATGGCATAAAGCAAAAAATCATAAAGGTCCTTCTTTCTTTTGATTTTGGGGTGAAATGTGAGCTGGACATGTTTTGGTGTGATTCACCAGGAATGTTCTATGAATATAATTTGCCGAGCTAATGTCTGATTTATTGATGGAAGATGTCTGTTCACATTGTGTTCTCTTCATGTGTTTGGAGAAATGTCTCGAGCTGTGTGTGTTGGCCTGAAGCGCTTGTCTTCACCTCTCTGCTGTTCATCTTCTCTCCCACAGCTCTTGGACAGAAGACACCCGCTCCTGCATTTTCTCAGAAAGCGCTCTGCGTCAAAGCCGAGAGAACCAGGAGCCTCTGGTTGAGGTTCTGGATCGGCAGATAGAGCAGAAATTTGAGGAGTTTGATCAGCTTGCTGTGGCTGGAAAAAAACTCTTTGACGACGAGCATCACCTCAACAAAATGGTAGAAAATCACAAATGTGAGCCTGGAGCACAAAAGCAGTCTTAAGTCACTGGGGTATATTTGTAGCAATAGCCAGCAATACATTGTATGGGTCAAAATTATAGATTTTTATTTTATGCCAAAAATCATTAGGATATTAAGTAAAGATCATGTGTCATGAAAATATTTTGTAAATTTCCTACTGTAAATATATTAAAACTTAATTTTTGATTAGTAATAAGAACTTCATTTGGACAACTTTAAAGGCAAAAGATTTTTTTTGCACCCTTAGATTCCAGATATTCAAATAGTTGTATCTCGGCCAAATATTGTCCTATCCTAACAAACCATACATCAATGGAAAGCTTATTTATTCAGCTTTGAGATGGTGTATAAATCTCAGTTTAAAAAAATTGACCTTTATGATTGGTTTTGTGGTCCAGGGTCACAAATATGCTTTCTTTAAAGGGATAGTTCACCCAAAAATGAAAATGTCACCATGATTTACTCTCCCTCAAGCCATCCTAGGTGTATATGACTTTCTTCTTTCAGACGAATCCAATCGGAGTTATATAAAAAAATGTCCTGGCTCTTCCATGCTTTATAATGGCAGTGAATGGGTGTTGATGTTCAATAGTCCAAAAGAAGTCCAATAAAGCACATCCATCCATCATAAAAAGTGTCCCACTTGGCTCCGGAGGGTTAATAATGGCCTCCTGAAGCGAATCCATGCATTTTTGTAAGAAAAAAAAACAGTAATCTCTAGCTAGTATTAATTATTATTATTTTTTTTTATTATTAATTTATAACTATTATTAATTAAAATTACCCATCCCTACCCGGAGCCGTGTGGAGCATTTTTTGTGATGTATGGATGCGCTTTATTGGGCTTCTATTTGACTATTGAAAAATAACACCCATTCACTGTCATTATAAAGCTTGGAAGAGCCAGGACATTTTTTTATATAACTGAAAGAATCTGAAAGAAAGTCATATACACCTAGGATGCCTTAAAATGGTAATTTTCATTTTTGGGTGAACTATCCCTTTAACATCTGCTTCAGTTGCTTCTGGGATGACAGAACGTTAAAATGGTTTGTTTATTATGTCTTGTGCAGATCAGAGAGAGGATGGAGGAGCTGAGGAGCATGCTGGGATGGATCCTGGTCCACTGGAGGGCTCAGAAGGATCAGCTGTTGAGCAGACAGAAGGCTGAAGAAGCTCAGACAGACGCTATTTACTCAGAGGCCACGGTCTGCAGCCTGCAAACACAGGTAGAACCCATTCATTTGTGATTTTCCCCTCTTTGGATAAATGAAGTTTATCAATCAATCAATCATTCATGGTGCAGATATTAAAAACTGTGATTGAAATGAATAATTCACTTCATCACTCCTGTTGTACATACATGACAATTGTAAAGAAACATGTCAAGGTTACGCTTCAAACTGAAGTAAATATAAATAAATAAATATATATATATATGTATGTAGTTGATGCAAAAATAACTTTTGTATATATATATTTGCAAAGATTGTTTGCAAATATATTATAATAATTCCAATGATTCTAAAAGAGGATTCAGTTACAGTAAAATTCTGTAATGCAATGATTCAAAAAATTCTCAAATGCTACAAACAATCTTTTCATTTTATTAATATAGTTTTAATTTTTCCATTATAGAAATGGGAATTTGAATATGGGAAATGTGATTATTTGTCTTAAATAATATCTGTATCAATCAATCAATATCTTTCAGTAAATATATACTGTAAAGCAGTGATTTTTCAATTTACATCAGCATATACCAAAGACTAAGAAATACTTCACCATTTTAAGAATAAAGATTTTTTTGCATCAGCATATATTAAATGCTGCAGATGCTACTAATAAATACTTCACTATTTAATAATATAGAATTTTTGCATTAAAATGTCACAGTGCAAACAATCTTAATGGTCCTGAAATCCTTGACCGTTTTCATGAGATCAACCTAAAATAACAAAATAATATTAAAAAATAAATACATTTCATGTTTTTTTCATGAAGAAAATAAAACCTGATCTTTAAGATTTTTATAATTCCGCTTATTCTCAGTGATGATTTGTATTGGATATTCATTTTTAAATTGCATTATTTTTTTCTTTTAAAGTAAAAAATACTGTAATGCAGTGATTTTTAAATTTAAATCAGCATGTATTAAATGAATGCTACTAAATGTAGAAACAATCAAGCTTTACTATTTTATTAATATAGAATGAAATATAGTGTATAATATCGGGTTTTTTTTGTTGTTGCTTTTTTAATAATAGGAAATTGAAGGCAGGAAATGTGCTTAATTGTCAAATAATGCAAGCAATCGTAAAATTCCTAAAATACAATATGTTTTTGTCATTATGCAAAATATAATTTTTTCTTTCTTTCTTTTGTTTGTGAAATGTGACCTGGAAATCCTTGACAGTTTTCGTAAGATCGACCCAAAGATGCAGTTTTTCATGAAGAAAATAAAACCTGATCTTTAAGATTTTTATAATTCCGCTTATTCGCAGTGATGATTTGTATTAGATATTCATTTTTATATTGCATTATTTTTTTTCTTTTAAAGTAAAAAATACTGTAATGCAGTGATTTTTAAATTTAAATCAGCATGTATTAAATGAGTGCTACTAAATGTAGAAACAATCACAGTGCAAACAAGCTTTACTATTTTATTAATATAGAATGAAATATAGAGTATAATATCATTTTTTTTTTGTTGCTTTTTTAATAATGGGAAATTGAAGGCAGGAAATGTGCTTAATTGTCAAATAATATCACAATGCAAGCAATCTTAAAAGTCCTAAAATACAATATTTGTTTTTGACATTATGCAAAATATAATTTTTCTTTCTTTCTTTTGTTTGTGAAATGTGACCTGGAAATCCTTGACAGTTTTCGTAAGATCGACCCAAAGATGCACTCTCCTCATAAAGCATGCTAAATCTGGCATTTTTCAGGTGGAAACCTCACCCGAGGCTTCTCAGAAGAGAACAGAAAGCCTCACAAGTGCTCCCCCTGGTGACACGGAGGACAGTTTGCAGCACAATTATGAATACGAGGTGATGAAGAGTGTCAGTCCTAAAGGAAGCGATGATAGCGGTCATTTAAAAAGGCCGAACTCGCCGTACCTGGTGCTGAAGGAATCCAGTCCTTCAGCTTTAGGAGGTACTGTCAATCTCATCCTCAGCTTCAGTAACTCTGGAGACACACAAATCCAGGTACAAGCGCCCGGCAGGGAAGGTGGCGTGCCGGTGCTCGAACCTGTGCACAGGGTGAGAATTATTAAAAACCACAGTCACACAAAGTCAAACCCTATTGCACTTATACGCTACTCTGTGTTCAATATCCCTCTCAGCCTCCTTACATTTAGCTTCTCTTTCCTCAAAAACACCCTTCTCTGTTTTGTTTTGTTCTACGTTCCCCTTCAGCCTGCTGAGTCTCACACTTCTGCCTGTAAAAGTTTTTGGAAGTGCTGCCAGGGGATTTTTGGTAGTTTAAAGCGAAAGCAAAAGATTTATCGACACAGTGCAGAAGAGGTAAATATAGTTGGTCAGTGGCCCTGCACGAGTAAACAGAAATATGCTAGTTGTGTGCAGTGCTGGGTAGTAACTGATTACATGTCATCTGGATTACGTAATCAGATTCCAAAAATTAAGTACTTGTTGTTTTTATTGATTACATAGTAATCACACACTAGCAATAAATTATTCATCCATTTTTTCATCGTTTATATTTTCTTTTCTAAAATAGCCTGCCGTTAAAGGTCTCCAGTTTTGTGGACATTCACACAAAGACCAGTCATTAGTCCGCTGGCTATAATTACACAAAAATCTTGTGTTTTCTCAGCATCCCAACATTGCATCAACTACTGATTGAGCAAATCATTTTTTTTATTTTTTTAGTTATTTAACCATGAATTACTATGTATTTGGAAGGCTTTTGTCTTTCAAACACAATTATTTAAAAATTATTTATTGTAATTTTACATTTTTATGATTATTAGCAGTTTCTTCTCGAACCCCAGTTTGGGAAACCTGACGTAATGTAATGGTTACGGCACTTTGTTGTTAATAGCAACATATGTAATATATTTTCTTTCTCTTTGTATTTTTATATCAATACATTACAAGATTATCCTATTTAAATCAATGTGATAAATGAGTTAGGTCAAAAGTATGGAAGCCTGTTTCCGCCACTGAATTAAAAAAAAAAAGGTAATGGCGGGTTTTTATCTCAGAATTCTGACTTTTTTTTCCTCGCAATTGCGAGTTTACATCTCGCAACTCTGACTTTTTTTCTCAGAATTGTGAGATATAAACTCGCAATTCTGAGTTCTCGCAATTCTGAGAAGAAAAGTCCAAATTGTGAGATGAAAAGTTTTTTTTTATTGACGGAAACGGGCTTCCATTCAAAAGTAATCTAAAAGTAATCAAAAAGTTGTCTGATTACATTACCTAAAATGTGTAATGTAATGGATTACGTTACTAACTACAATTTTTGCCATGTAATTTGGAATCAGTAACGGACTACAATTTGTAAGTAATCTACCCAGCTCTGCTTGTGTGTGTGTGCATGAGGACTGTAGTGTGATGGACTGACTAACATCATGATCTCAAAACATCTCATCGTATTTTTTTGATAACTGAAGCATTGCAGTAAATCTCAGAATCATAGTCTAATAATATGCTATTCTGAAAAATCGCCATTGGCCTGGTCATTTATTTGTGCCGTGGTTGGAAAGAGAAAGAGACTTTGATGGAAGAGGGGTCACTGCGGTTTAGAGGAGATTGCAGACAGGTATGGGCAGGTAATGAAAAGATGACAGAGGAAATAGCCACTTCCAATGATCTCATTTTGAGCTGCCAGTATATGGGAAGTATTAAAAACCGGGATGAGAAACACTTCCAACACAAACATAAAGCCTCATTTCAAGCATTCGGGTTGTTTACAAAACTGTCTTTGGGAACATTTTGAAAGTAATTGCAGCAAAAATGAAAAGCGTGTGTTTCTTGGAACGGTTACAGGGGTTTAAAAATATAGTAGCATATAGTAGCCTTAAATGGTTTTGCAATATCCTTGGGTCTTTTATTATGCCATTAGGGTCTGTGAAGTGTAAACGTCTGTCAGTATTAGAAGTTATTTTGGAAATTTTGTCCATTGCTGTAGGTTTGCAGCTCTCATGTAATCCAGTAGATTTTTTTGAAAACATCAGGAAGATTAGGGCTTGTGGGAAAGTGTCTAGCTGCTGTCATATTGTCTAATTTCAAACGCATTATGACATCTGTCTGCAGGATTTTTTATTTTCTTTCAGCACATATAGAGTCGCCGCTTACAAATGAGACCCTAGAGATCAGAATGTATAATCACACAAAGTCAGAAATGATCATCGAAACACGTATGCATACTTCTACAATAGCTTTGCATGAGGAACAGAGCAAACTTCTAGTCTTTTTACTAGCATTGCCCCCCTAATAGTGCGTAAGAGGCTTAGTCAACCAAAATGTTTTTAGCCGGTTAGTCACAGAAAAACTGTCCGTGATGAACAGATAGTTAACAGCTGGTCCTTGAGGTAATAACAGTAAATCCAGGAAGGAAATTCAAACATTCATCTATTATTCATCAACCTCAAATGTGGCTTATCTTTTGAAAGTGAAACATGCAAGTAGTAGCACGTTAACTTAGATAAATGTGCACTTTTAGGCACATATCCAAGTGTTTGTGTGGAGTGTGGATGCTATTAGCACACTTACTGCATTTGTCCTGATAACAGCAAAAAACATCTTAAAAATTGCTGTCATTTTTACTCATGCAGATAAGAGTAATACATCATTCGAAACTGTAAAGGGTCTACTTTTATTTGTGTACACTCACAGTATCAACAAAATGTTGTGCTTTCGTAAAAAATAAAGAAAACAATCAAGATGCGTTTTTTTTTTGCCGTCTCCATGAACTGGAGCACATCACAAAAATGAACCGAAACTCAGCGTATAGGCTACTGCCTCACAAACATGAGAAATATATCTATAGAAAAATTGAAACATCTACAAAACCGATTCAAAACAAATACTCTCCGATTATGTAATCCGTATGAAAGGTGCTTTTCTCTCTAATGGCGCATCATTGTAATGTGGAGATGGCGAGTCCGCATCGTCAACTTCATCTGTGCAGCCGACACTGACTCAAAAAACACTAGTTTATTCATAAATAATTAAAATATCTCCATGCTATTTTTTCCGACACATTCATAGTCATTATTTTTGCTGGTGCTTTGCAGAATAGGCTATATATTAAAGCCTATTATTTAACTAATTAAATTAATATAAACATGCCATTATTCGACTAATGGCTTAAATTAATTACTGAAAGTCAAATCTTTAGTTAAGGGCAACTCTACTTTTTACTCTTTAAACTCTTGCTCCGTCATGACATATGAGTCAGGAACCAGCAGAGGCCAGGGGTCTTTATTAGATTTGAAGATTTGCTGTAAATCGGTTGTTTTAACCAGAGGAAGACAATGACAAAGGGAGCAGATGATAAGAGAGGTGATAAGATGCATGCAGTGGGGTTTTTCACTCTTACGTAAGCTCTCTTTAGGCCTGATGTAAACTCATTCATGACAGCCGCACGGTGCTGAGATGTGACCTCACCCTTCGCTTCCCATGATCGCTGAGATCTGAAATCGCTCTCAGCAGGATCGGGGGGTGCTGGAGAATTTGTTGTGAACTTTCTAGAAGGCCCTTCTGACTGCCCTGTGTGATTTATGGTCTGGGGCTGCCAGAGCAACACAAGATTAGTCACAGGGTGAAAGGTCAAGCCATTACAGCTGTGTATGATGACATGCTTAAGAGCAGATGATTCTTATTAAGCCCAGAGTAAAAACAAAAAAAAATTAATGTGTGCTTGTGTAGTCTTGCTAGTGTTCTTTTGTTAGTGATGTTCTCATGTAAATCTAATGTTTTTGCACTATTAGTGGTGTTTGCTAAGGTTTGGTGTGGCTTTTTGATGTAAGCAACCACTCAGAACACTTTAGAAATCACATAGCAACACCCTAGCAACCATCTAGAACATCAATCACATAGCAACTCCTTAGCAACCACCCAGAACACCTTCGTGATCACATAGCAGCACACTAAAAACACTCAGAACACCTTAGCAGCTGCATAGTAACGCCCTGCTAACTATTTAAAACATGTTAGTAACAGCATAGCAACTCCCTAGCAACCATCTAGAACACCTTTGCAATTACATAGCAACACACTAACCATTCAGAATAGCTTGACAACTGCACAGTAATGCCCTGACAACTGTCCAGAATACCTTAGCAATAGCAAAGCAATGCCCTAGCAATCAAATAGAACATCTTAGCAGTAGCATAGCAACACACTAAAAACCAATTAAAACACAACCATATAGTATGGCCTGGCAACTACCCAGAATCCCATAGCAACACCCTGGCAACCACCCGGAATAGCTTAGAGATCTCGTAGCCCTGGCAAGTATCCAGAACACCTTAGCAAAAGCATAGCAACACCTTAGCAAACACCTAGAGCAACTTAGCAATAATATAGCAACATACTAAAACACTCTGAACACCTTACCAACTGCTTAGTGACATCCTGGCAACTAGTCAAAACACCTTGGCAACAACATAGCAACCACCTAGAACATCTTACCAACAGCATAGCAACACACAAAAACACTTAGAACACCTTAGCAACTGCATAGTAATTCCCTGGTAATGACCCAGAATACCCATAGCAACACAATAAAAACCACTTACAAAACGTTGGTAACCACATAGTATGTAGCGACAACATAGCAACGCCGTGGCAAACATCCAAAACATCCTGGCAGTGTAGTGGCACGTTTTGCATAATTTTTCTTCACAGAATGCAAGAAATGTTTATTTTTTCCCATAACAAATGTGAATTCCAGCTGCTTAATGTAAGCAGTGAAGGAAAATATGTTTCAGCATTTTAAATGTTTTTATCATTGCAGAGCAATGTCATCATTCATCAGTAACAAATGTGAAGCAACATGTTTCTTTGTTTTTGCTCAGGAATGCTTTGCTTGAGCCAGAGACTCACAGAAGTGCTATGTTCAGATACTAAAACACTTATTTTCATAAATGGTTATACAAATAATACTTTTTCAGTGTTTGAATTGTGGATTACACTGGCCATAAAAAGTATTTGGACACTTAAGCCACACTTAAATATGAATGTCATTGCATAAGATAACAAAATACCAAACTAAGCCACATTTATTATCAAGATAACACAAGCACACTTACAAGGTCCAAAATGAAGACTCTTTGTGGTTGTGAAATTGTTGATAGTTAATGTAATGAACTACACCTGTGTGTATTTGAGGAGAACTGACTTCATGCATGCATTAAAAATGACAGCAACGATTGTTTGCAGATGCCATTTCATTTGATATTTTGTTTTGCAATGCAATGACATTCATTCATTTTTATGTGCGACCTAACTGCCCAAATGCTTTTTAGGATCATTGTTCTTCAGATAATTAGCATGATGTATATTTGAAGGGTGAACTTTGTATTGAAGTGTGATACTTATGCATGCTAACCACTTTATGCATGGAAGAAAAAAAGGTGATAACACTCTAAAACAATCTTATCCTTGTGTTTTAGGTAAGTACTTACTTGCATGTTACAGAAAACAACACGGCAGTGTATGAGAGTATGACGCTTCCCCAAGACAAAGCCCAGAGGTCCTCTTCCTCCTCTCCCAGTACCTCCCTGTATGCTTTCTCCTCCCCTTGCACCTCCCCATACTCCTCGTCCTCCATTGAAGACACCCTTCTGCATACCAACAACCTCCTGCCAAAGAATAGCAACATCTCAATCTTTAGCAGCCTGAAGAGGAAGAGCAAGAAGGCGAAGAAGAAGAAAGATGACCGTAGACACACCATTCAGAAGATCATGGGAGAGGAGCTGTCGGAGGAGGCTGGGTTGCCACCTGTATGTGAACCGGTGACATACGATACACATACTTGGCCCCTGAAGGAAAGGAAGAAGCGGAAAAATGCAAGGAAGCCAAACAGAGATGGGACTCAGGTCTTGGACTACATAAAGAACCCTTTAGTGAAAGACATAGATGCAGAATGTCCTGGAGAGGTTGGATTTCCAGTTCACCATACCTTAGAGGTTGCCACCCAAGGACATGTGAAGAACCACTGCAGATTTCTGTCCTTGGGCTCTGTGTTAAGCTTTGACCTGCCCAAGGATATGAGCCTCATCCCTAGCATTCAAGATGTCATCACAATTGGCCCTCCTGAGCAAAAAAAGACAGACTCTTATCACCAGGACTCTCAGGTTGATCGTCCAACAGCTCTGAGCACCTTTAAAACAGCCCGCTCACCTCCAACACAAAAAGAAGAGCTCAAACTAATTTCCCCAGGTGAAGTAACCCTCAATATTGATTGTAAAGACTCCAAAAAGATCAGCATTGACACTGTATCATTTACTAAAGATGAATTTCCTCCTACACCTTCTCCTGTTGTTGAAGACATCTCATTTGAGGAGAATCGTCCCTCATCACTCAGTGATCTGACCAATATCCAACAGAAACACCTATCTGGGATCAGTAAAGTGCCTAAAGAAGAGGTGGTTAGTTGGGGAGCTAATGAAACTCAACTTGACTGCAAAGAGAACTACTATGTAAGCCCACCAGAAGATGCAAGCCGAGGGATAGTCAACCACAGCTCAACTATGGCAGAGATTCATGTATGTCCTAGTGTCCATACCATGGTTCACAAACTTAATGGACACGTGTACCATAGGCCAGCGAAATCCTCCAGCACTCAACAGTTAAGTCCCAGCCATGCATCTCATGTGGTGTTGAACTTCAGAGCCAATGGAAGAGAGGACTCAGTGGACTCTGGTCACTCCAGCTCTGGAAGCTTCAAGTTATGTGCTGAGGGTCCGTACATAGACTCCTCAGATTGTCCAGTGCCTCAGAGGACCTTTGGGAAGGTACCATCCCTGGACGCAGGAATCTCCAACAAGAACTTAGAGTTTTCCAAGGACAAGAGCATTACCTTATCTATCGACGTTGATGATCCAGTTCATCCTGACCATCAACAGTTTGAGCAGGAAGAGGAGGAGCTGGAGGACATCTGGAACCACACCAACCGCTACCGAGAGAGTCTTAACTCTGACATCATGTATAATGGCTACCAGGCCACCACTTCTCCAGACCGGCACAGGGAACCCTCACCCAAAGAACAAGCAGTGCTCTTCAGGAAGTTGGTCACGGCCTCCGCACCCAACCTTCTTGTGGCGGAGTTCAGACTGCCACCATCCATCCAGACTATGGTGGGTTTTGGGAATCAGCAGAACCCAAGGGAAGAGAGGAAAATTCTGGAGAAAGGGGACAGGAGGTCTTGGGCTGCATTCACACAACAGGAACAGGTTTACAAACAGGTGGCTGTTAATGAAACCGCTTCAGATATGGTGAAATTACCCAACATAGAGGACCAGCAAAAGTATATCTACCATTATAAAGAGGAGGAGGAGGAGGAAAAGGAGGAGGAGAAGGAAACAGGGTTTCTGAAGGTGAGGTCTACAAGTTGGCTGTCAAACCCAGTTAGTTGTCGTTTAGGACCGTTTAAGTCAGGGGTGTCCAACCCTGGTCCTGGAGGGCCACTGTCCTCTAGAGTTTAGCTCCAACCTCAATTAAACACACCTGAACTAGCTAATCAAGGTCTTACTAGGCATACTAGAAACTTCCAGGCAGGTGTTTGGAGGCAAGTTGAAGCTAAACTCTGCAGGACAGTGGCACTCCAGGACCGAGTTTGGACACTCCTGGTTTAAGTCCTGCTCCTGCAGGGCCAATGTCCTGTATATTTTAGCTTCAATCAAACACACCTGAACCAAGGAACTCAAGGTCTCGACGATTACTAGAAACTTCCGGGGAGGTGTGTTGGGTCAAGTTGGAGCTAAACTATGCAAGACGGTGGCTCTCCAGGACCAGGATTGGACACCCCTGATTTAAGTAGTTGACTTGCGCTGCCTTCAACACATGTCAGAATGATATTTATGAGATGAGCTCTCATGAGCGCCACCACAGTATTGTATTTAGTTAGAAAACTTGTCAGTGAAAGAATCATGGTGGATACCTTACATTTCCCATCTTTCTCTGTGGGAGCAAAAATGCTCTTCACTATTTTGCATTTGCATTAAATGGCTGAAGTAGGAACTTCCTAGGAGGATTGAGGGTTTTATTAGGAAATCTTTGCCTTCAAATTAAGTTGTGGTCAGCATATCTCATATCATTTTGCCCATTGTTGTAGTTCTGATTAGTGCACATGTAATCTGTTTTTGTCATGGTAATTAACGCATTGATACGTGTTCTCTCTCCACAGGACCAGTCCATGAGCCTCCTGTCTGTTCATATGGGATTGGATGGGTCCAATGACAATGATATCCAGGTACACAAAGTATAATTGCAGACCATACCAGAACAGAGAGTATGTGCTTTAACGTTCTTCAGAGTATTGATAAATAAAATACATTATTGTATCTCATCATATCAAGGTTGTTAATTCTAATCTTTGACCTTTCTTTTTCAGAGTGGAAAACAAGAACTGGAACTGCCGTCTATGGAAGGTACACTGGAGAGGAAACACAAACTACAACTGGGTGGAAAGAAGGTAAATATCACAATTACAGATATTTGCTTGACCCCAACCAAAACAAATGAGCATTTTGTGTCACATGCCTCATGCTTTTACCTGCAGGCTACTGTGGTAGATGTCAGATTAGGTTGTTTTAGTGCATTTTCGGTTGGTCTTTATGTAACCATTAAGATAAATGTACTATTTCAGGCACCATGCAGGGTGTGGAACTCCTATCATGCTGTGCTGTACAAACAAACAATATGTTTCTACAAGGACAGGAAAGATACACTCAAGGTAAGCTCGAAGACTTCATGTTCTGGCTTTGCAACCAAGCAGAAAACTTTGTGTTCCTTTATTGCAAGCAGACATCATTAGTTACATTGCAAGGTTGAACTGTGATTAAATTGTGATTGAATTACGTTTAATGGCAGCTGTAAAGCATCTAAGGGTATGATTTCGCTAAAACGACTCTATATTTGTACCCGTAGAGCTGGGCTCCTCTGAACCTAATTGGAGCGGTGTGTGAACCGTCACCAGAGTACACCAAAAAACCCAACTGCTTCTGCTTGAGGTAAATGACGAACAACTAAAGGGCGTCTCATGTTTGTTTTAGTTAGAGATGAAAGTAGTTGTTTGAATCGTTTTCACCTGCACAGGTTCAGTTGAAGGACTTTGTTTAACCATTTTCTCTCAGATTACGTGATGGATCTGAGTATCTCCTCAGTGCACCGTCCCGATTTATGATGAAGAAATGGATCCTCAGAATCCAAGCACACACTGGTAGTATACTATTAACTATCTGTCTCCGTTGTTAACAAGTTTTCATGCTGCATTATATGACCACAGTCATATTCACATGAAATCCTATCTCTACAGCGTCTAGCGATTCTGTAGTGAACAGATCAACATGTCATGGGTCTTCAGCGACGCTCCCTAGACATTCTCCTGCTATCACCGGCTGTCAGTGTGGAGATAAATGCCACTGCTCCATGAGAAATTATGTCACCACCACCGTTTTAGCACAGAGTCAGCCCGCCTCAGGCCGAACCAAAGAGATCATAGTCCACACCAATGACGGACTGCAGATCCACCAAAGGCACCAGGATCTGTTGCGCCCCTCGTTCTCAGATGCAGGTCATTGTGGTAAGAAACTCTGTGACTAATACAGTTCAGTGAACTAAGAAAAAACTAGGGTAGTTATTCCTGTAACTAGCTACTTTTTACTAACAAGAAATGGTGGTTACATTGTATTTTTTTTATTTACTTTATTTTATTTGTTTATTTTATTTTTTATCTTTGGTTTGGTTCATATAAACAAACTGATTGGGGAAAAAATATATTAAAGGCTTCTGAAATTTTGATTATTTTAATTTTATGAATATAATTTCACGAATATTATATTACTATTTGATCCAATAAATGTAGTTTTGGTGGAAATTATATATATATATATATATATATATATATAAAATGCACTGCATTTTGCATTACTTTAATGCTGCTGTTTATTACTATCATGACTCATTTATATAAATTAGGCGCATTTAAATAAATTATTAGTCGTATTTTATAAACCCTCATAGCTCTGAGTATTTAATTTATAGTAAATGTGTATAAATTGTATAAATATGTAATTTGACCATAGCTAATTTACTTTAAATTGCACTAAAAAATTTTTATAAGAAAATAAAAAAATTATCGGTATTTTGCCTTGTTGTCCAGCAAAGAAATCTATAAATATATAATTTATCTTAAGTATGCTATTATAATGGATTGGAAAGCATACTTGAGATAAATTTAGCTTTCAGTTTGACAGTTTCAAAGTAGCTTCCAAAACACTTGCAACTAATGCAAGTAATAAATAAACAATATGCAAGACAAATGTTTGAACATCCAAAAGAGGGCAGTAGATACTCTGGTACTGAGCAGAGCTTCACGCAGACATTATGAGGCAGGGTCACATCTGTTTGCTGTCAGCGGCTTTCTATTTCGGGAGAAGCACTTCTATTCAGCTCTCTGGATTTTGTCATTTCCACCTTGGTCACATAATTTCTCACCTCGAGTACTTTGTTACTCACTTATACTGTCTGCCCTTGTACTGTAGAGGTTGAATGATTCATTTTCAGTTTTTTTTCTTTTCTCTCTGTAGAGGATGAGTTTGACTCTCATGGCGAGTTTCAGAGACAGAATTTGTCCTCTATGTCCACCGTTCAGGGCTGGACCAGCGAAAAGAGACGCTCACACTCCTTTACCTCAGGTACAGTAACTCAATTGAGTCACATTTGCCTCATCCAGTTAGGGCCCTATGAAATTCGTTTTATTTTTCCAAAATTCTGGACTGCGTTTTAATGATTAAATTAAATCTGAGTAATCAAAAAGCATGAAATCAAGAAACTTGTACAATTGAACAAGATTAAGAAAAATATATTTTTAGGGCCATATGGAATGTTTTATTTTTCCCCCAAATTCCATCCCCCCATTTTTTTTTCTTTTTCTAAAATCTGTTTTATCAATTTTTTCTGGATTCCGTTTTAATACAATTTTAGTAATCAAAAAGCATGTAATTAATTGAAATCATGAAACTTATACAATTCAGCAATTTATTGGAAGCTTAAAAAAAATATATATTTTTTTTTTATGGCCCTATGAAATACTTTTTTATAATTTTTTTAGTTTTCTTAAATCCTGTTTTCAGATTCAATTTTAATGGTTTAAGTTTTAATAATCAAAAAGCATGCTAATCAATAGAATTCATAAAACTTTAACAACTTATAGTTAACTTTATATTTCCAAAACTGTTGTAATCAAATGGAGGTATAAAACATTAAAGGACTGCTCCACTATTTTTGAAAATAGGCTCATTTTCCAACTCCCCTAGAGTTAAACAGCTGAGTTTTACCGTTTTCGAATCCATTCAGCCGATCTCCGGGTCTGGCGGTAGCACTTTTAGCTGTAGCTTAGCATAGATCATTGAATCGGATTAGACTGTTAGCATCTCGCTCAAAAATGACCAAAGAGTTTCTATATTTTTCCTATTTAAAACTTAACTCTTCTGTAGTTACATCGTGTACTAAGACCGACGGAAAATGAAAAGTTGTGATTTTCTAGGCCGATATGGCTAGGAACTATACTCTCATTATGGCGTAATAATCAAGGAACTTGCAGGCGCAATGATATTACGCAGCACCTGAAAATAGTCCCCAGCGCGCTCCCTGTGCAAGCAGGTGGTCACGTTGTTTATGTTGACGGAAGTTAGCCTATTTTCAGGCGCTGTGTAATATCATTGCGCCTGCAAGTTCCTTGATTATTACGCCATAATGAGAGTATAGTTCCTAGCCATATCGGCCTAGAAAATCACAACTTTTCATTTTCCGTCGGTCTTAGTACACGATGTAACTACAGAAGAGTTAAGTTTTAAATAGGAAAAATATAGAAACTCTTTGGTCATTTTTGAGCGAGATGCTAACAGTCTAATCCGATTCAATGATCTATGCTAAGCTACAGCTAAAAGTGCTACCGCCAGACCCGGAGATCGGCTGAATGGATTCTAAAACGGTAAAACTCAACTGTTTAACTCTAGGGGAGTTGGAAAATGAGCCTATTTTCAAAAATAGTGTAGTGTTCCTTTAACAATATAATTAAAATGTAATCAGATGAAAATTAAACAAGTCCTTTTGTTTTTTGGCTGCAGAGGTTTACTGTTAAAATTAAAACATGGAAGAAAAATTGTGTAATTATTCCTTTAAAAAGTTTTAGTACTTTGTTATTATTATAATAATTATTATTATTGCTGTTACAATTTGATTAAGCGTACAGTGCTACTTTTGATTTATGCATCTAAAATTACAATTCCTTGACATTCCGCATTATGCAGTAAATTCCATTTTTATGACTGGTTTCTGCAATTCTGTGTGCGTTTTCTGTTTTGCGGGAATCATAGGGCCCTACAAATAAATGTTTAATCAATGTATATGAGCTTTGAATGCTGATATCTCTGTTTCTACAGCCACATATCAGAGGATCAAGCCTGTAGCGCCCCCTTCAGGCAAAGGCCAGGACAGTAGCTCCAGCTACTCAGTGACTTTATTCATCAGAGATGGTGAGATGCCGTCAGTCTGTAAAAGCACAGTGATGGCCCCGACAAACGGCGTCTGGCAGGAGTCTGTCTCCGATCTGCCCATTAAGAGCTACATGAGCCTCCCGCGACCGCCCAACAAATCCGTCTTCAGGAAGTTCTTTGGGAAAAAGGAGTGACGGACACTTTGTGACACTGCTGGTCAAAGACCCTGACTGACATGTGCAGGACACAAGTTACAATTTTTCTTACATTTATTTATGGATATGATGGCAAGAACCATTTTTGTATACTTTTAAATGAGACCTTGTATGATTGTGTTGCTGCGAGATAAATGGAAAATTCACTCCTTTTTAACTTCTCACTTTATCAGCCATTTTAATATCTGGCTCAAATGGACGATTTAGTCAAAAATGAAAATCATGTAATTTACCCTCATGTTGTTCCAAACACATATGACTCTTTCTTTCATGGAATGCATTTAGCAGCAATTTTATCCAAAGCAAATTACAAAGAGAACAAAAGCAATTTTATCACAGAGCCAACAATATTCGCAATATGCAATGCCATTAGACAACTATAGGAAGCATGCTAGCGAAGAGGAGAAATGCAGAGAAGAAAAGAACTGAAATATTTAAAGAACAATGAAGTCTGTCAAGCTCCAAAAACACACCACAAATCTATCATAACAATTATGCATATGACTTGTCCGCTATATTTCAATTGCTTTGAAGTCATAAAACAGCTTAGTGTGAGAAACGGACCCAAATTTATGTCATTACTCTCTAACCAAACATTTTAATTAAACCTGATTGATGGCTGTGGGCCAAAAGTAAATGCATTATATCCAACTATATTATATTGGTATATTAAATTATATATTATATTGTATTATATAATATATTATTTTATTAAATCCAACTATATTATATTAAAATGCATTAAATAAAAAAGCAATAAATAAAAATTTATAATAATTTAAATTTAAATATCACTTTAATTTTTCATGAAAATTCACTTGTATTGTTTTTACATTTCAAAGCAAAACAATGTTTAAAAAATGCTAAAACAAAAATATTAATTAGAAATAAATATATGCTTCAATAGCTTGTTTTTAAAAATTTTTATGGGTTTTTTTTTCCTTCAATTTTTTCCCTTCCTCTTGCATGGTGGGCCAAATCAAAAGTCATCACGGGCCAAATTTGGGCATCTCTGCTCTCTGTAAATCTTCCCTTGTTGCTTTTTTGTCATTCTGGAGCTCAACTGACCCAGTCCCCTTTCGTTATATAAAAGGAGTGCCCAGTTCTTCTGAAGGAAGATGTTCTTGCAGAATTTAGCTCCATCACGCCTGCCTAGATGTTTTTAATGACCCTAAACACTTTAATTAGCTCGTTCAGGTGTATTTAATTAAGCTTGCAGCAAAACTGTCCTCATGAGAAGGATTGGACAGAATATAATTCAAAAAGTGAAGAACACCAGAAAATAGGAACATCATGAGGGTGAGTAACGACCAATTCACACTAAAAATGATTACTATATTATATTATTTCAAAACATTTTAGTTATAGCCATCATTATTGATGTGAACTTTAATTTATGGATTAACTCTTCCTTCAACCTCAACATTTTGCCATGCTGAGATTTCATCATTTGCCAGATTTTTTTCATGTGTATAAATGAGTGCAGTTTGCTGTGGATGTGATGACAGCCGTAAAATACTGCCGTAATGAATCTACTGATATGAGACTTTTGAAAGCTAGTGTGTTCAGTGTTCCCACCACATTCCTCTTGAGGTGGTCTGGCGTGTTTTCAGTTCATGTATGTTCTGTTTTTGGCGTGGATTGCAATTTCTGTTGATGATTATCTCTGAGTTTCAGAATGTCCACTCATTGTTTAGTTTCTCTGAGGTTTTGGCACATATTATTTGTCAGCTTGTCATGTTTTTCTGCGTCGGCTGGTTTGAGTTCTGTGTGGTCTTACAGGTTTCATTCAACCAAAACTGAAAGCTCTGTCATTATTTATTTACTTGAGGGTGAGTAAATGTTGACAGTAATTTACATTTTTGGCCAACTGTCCCTTTAACGTGTGTTTCCAGACTAAACATTTGATTCACTTATTCTAGTGTTGCTTTCTGTATTTAAACTAATGCAGTGTGTCAGGACATTTTTATAAGTTTTTTTTTTTTTATTTTTTTTTTTTACTGTCTGGTCATGCATGATATTTTGAGATTGGTGACATGAATGTTTATGACCATTTTTATACAATTTAAACATGTAATGCATTATTTTGGATATTTTACAGTGGGAAATATGTTCAGCTTGAAAATGTCTTTTATAAGCATTGTAAGAAAATAAGGTCATTACAGCACAATGAGTATTTGCATTTCTTTAAAAGACGTGGTAAAGCAGAAACGCTGCACTGGTTATGGCATCATTTTATTGAGTGATATACATCCATAAACTACCATGCAATTATGAGTGTCCAAAAATAATAAATTGGATTAATAAATACTGCAAAGTATAGCTGAAATGTACACACAGCATCATATTGCATTTATATCCGGCAAACGCACAACGTTCCCTTAACATTCCCAGTTGTTTACTTTTGGTCTCTGTCTCTAGATATGGTTATTTGTACTTTTTCAAATTACTTTTAATGTTTTTTTTTTTTTAATGCTTTGTGTGACCTATATTGCATTTGCAACAAGTGTTTGCAATTATTTGCATTTGTTTGCTGTATCAAAAGCAATAGCTACATAATGGGACTGTTTTTTTCCCCCCCATACTTGACTAGAATATTAAATATTTTTAGCTCCATCACGCCTGCCTAGATGTTTTTAATGACCCTAAACACTTTAATTAGCTCGTTCAGGTGTATTTAATTAAGCTTGCAGCAAAACTGTCCTCATGAGAAGGATTGGACAGAATATAATTCAAAAAGTGAAGAACACCAGAAAATAGGAACATCATGAGGGTGAGTAACGACCAATTCACACTAAAAATGATTACTATATTATATTATTTCAAAACATTTTAGTTATAGCCATCATTATTGATGTGAACTTTAATTTATGGATTAACTCTTCCTTCAACCTCAACATTTTGCCATGCTGAGATTTCATCATTTGCCAGATTTTTTTCATGTGTATAAATGAGTGCAGTTTGCTGTGGATGTGATGACAGCCGTAAAATACTGCCGTAATGAATCTACTGATATGAGACTTTTGAAAGCTAGTGTGTTCAGTGTTCCCACCACATTCCTCTTGAGGTGGTCTGGCGTGTTTTCAGTTCATGTATGTTCTGTTTTTGGCGTGGATTGCAATTTCTGTTGATGATTATCTCTGAGTTTCAGAATGTCCACTCATTGTTTAGTTTCTCTGAGGTTTTGGCACATATTATTTGTCAGCTTGTCATGTTTTTCTGCGTCGGCTGGTTTGAGTTCTGTGTGGTCTTACAGGTTTCATTCAACCAAAACTGAAAGCTCTGTCATTATTTATTTACTTGAGGGTGAGTAAATGTTGACAGTAATTTACATTTTTGGCCAACTGTCCCTTTAACGTGTGTTTCCAGACTAAACATTTGATTCACTTATTCTAGTGTTGCTTTCTGTATTTAAACTAATGCAGTGTGTCAGGACATTTTTATAAGTTTTTTTTTTTTTATTTTTTTTTTTTACTGTCTGGTCATGCATGATATTTTGAGATTGGTGACATGAATGTTTATGACCATTTTTATACAATTTAAACATGTAATGCATTATTTTGGATATTTTACAGTGGGAAATATGTTCAGCTTGAAAATGTCTTTTATAAGCATTGTAAGAAAATAAGGTCATTACAGCACAATGAGTATTTGCATTTCTTTAAAAGACGTGGTAAAGCAGAAACGCTGCACTGGTTATGGCATCATTTTATTGAGTGATATACATCCATAAACTACCATGCAATTATGAGTGTCCAAAAATAATAAATTGGATTAATAAATACTGCAAAGTATAGCTGAAATGTACACACAGCATCATATTGCATTTATATCCGGCAAACGCACAACGTTCCCTTAACATTCCCAGTTGTTTACTTTTGGTCTCTGTCTCTAGATATGGTTATTTGTACTTTTTCAAATTACTTTTAATGTTTTTTTTTTTTTAATGCTTTGTGTGACCTATATTGCATTTGCAACAAGTGTTTGCAATTATTTGCATTTGTTTGCTGTATCAAAAGCAATAGCTACATAATGGGACTGTTTTTTTCCCCCCCATACTTGACTAGAATATTAAATATTTTATTGCATACACAGGGGCTATGCTAGAGACGAGAATATCGCAGGGACTTTGGTCAGTGTGCAAACACCTAGTTACTGCATTTCAATTCATGTTTATTTGTATAGCAATTTTCACGAAACACATTATTGCAAAGCAGCTTCACAGAAAATAAAACTTTCTACATTACAATTAGAAGTAGTTTATCAGTGACGACAAGGTGATGTCCATATGGCAGAAATGTACAGTTCTAGGACAGTAGAAATCATGCACCCATATTTTTTAATAATTTTATCAAGGGGCAGCATATATATTGAAAATAGCAGGGGGCCTAAGACAGATCCTTGTGGTACTCCACACTTTACTGGCATTAAATGAGTTGATTCACCGTTTTTAATAAACAAAGTGGTAATTGTCTGATAGGTAGGATATATCTTAAAGCCTGTCCCTGAACACCCATAGTTTTGTAATCGATCTAGGAGTATGTCATGATCTAGTGTTGAATGCAGCACTAAGGTCAAGTAAAAGTAGTACTGAGATGCAGTCTGATGCAAGAAGCATGTCATTTGTAATTTTATCAAGCGCAGTTTCTGATAGGACCTGAAACCTGACTGAAATTCTTAATAGATACCATTTTGCATTTGACTGGCAACTGCAACGTTCCTGTTTGCTTATGTTTTTGGGAACCAAATAAGAATGTTCTGGGAACATTCTCTGTCGGTTCTTTTTTTGTATCCAAAAACTAACCTTCCCAGAAGGTTCTGGGAACCAAAAATTGTTTGCGGAGTATATGTAATTTCAGAAATTTAGTTTTCCATTTATTTCTAAAATACAATATGAATTGAAATTGATGAATTGGTCGTTTTAACTTGCATTAGGTTGGGGGTTTTGTGGTTTGTGATGTCCAATGGTCAGATCTGACTGACAATATTTGAAAGTAAATTTTGTGCGTTTTTATACTATGCTTTGTAAAAAGAACAAATAGGCAACGACAAGCCTTCAGTGATAAATCAATGACCGCAGCTTCTCTCATAGAGAAGAAATGAGCTGTATGTTTGATGCCTGATGTATTAACGATCCACCGGGCACAATTCGACACACCCTCGTCTTTCCCTCTCAGATGGGGATTTCAAAAGCGCTGATATGGAAACTACAGATAAACATTGTAAGAAAGCCTCCACAATAATCATTAAAACAGCGCGGAGGAGATCTGAGCCTTCCGGCTCTACTGCAAATCCTCAGAGGTCGATGCTGCGCTCGTGCGTTTGCATATGAAAAGCTGTCATGACTGGAAGCTGGATGCCCCTCCAATCCCTTTAAGCTTTCAGAGAGTCTCCGCATACTTAATTGGGGAGCCGCTGACAGCGGGGGGGTAAAAGTGCTCAAACAATGGCTTTCAGCACTTGGTCAGTGTTGGATTAGAATGCATTAAGTGCTCGAAATGTGCTAAGTGCAAAGGGACGGAGCTTTTTTTTAATGGACCGTAACAGTGTGGTGTGTAAAACGCTTTAGCATCATCCAGTATCGGCCCTGTATATGCAATATGATATTCAAAATTCTAGTCAAGTATGGAAATCAAAACTCAGTCA